ATAAAAAAAACATTAATCATTGGAAAATGTGTAAATCAAAACCATTCAAATTTAAAGGAACACCAACATCTTTCAAATCCAGTCAATATTTTCTCATAGCCAGACGAATCTTGCCCTGTATACCAGTTCCTAAGACGCGAGAAGATGTAGGGCCAGATTTAATCTGGCTTAGGTTAAGGAAATTTAAAGGTATTTCATGGGCCAAAACTTCATAGACGCGAAATTTGGACAATAGGCACATAATGTTCAATTAAGCAGTACCAGAAGCTAATTGTAAAATCCATAAGTGTGGGGGAAATATAAATTGTATCATATCATTATTAGCTTGAATAAACGTCTATTATATTCTCACGGAAACAATAAGGGGATGACCTCTCTATAATATCTGTATCTAATGTAAGTTATTGAAAATGTCAATTATAATATCAAAGTCGAGTAGAAATGACATTCCGGTTAATGATCACCAAAGAGTTCGTTCAAACGCATTCGTTTTCAATACTTATGTTTGATTAAAATCACTGTGATGTCGCCTGTTATATGAGTGGTTGCAAAAGCATTCGATGGTTGTTTTTGATTTCAGATGATGACATTTTGTTTGTTCAGCAAGATATAAATTCAAGAGATTTGGACTTATACATGTAAAGCAAAGGGACAGAAATGAAATGTAATTAGCATAACTTTCATTTAGAAACAAATACATGCATGTTAATTAAACTTATTTCATTAGTTACATTTAATTACACTAAAATTAAAGTTTTGTCAACATTTTGTCAACAGATTGTTAAAATTTCTTTATATGAAGGACTGCTCAGATGCGATGGATTTATTAAATATTGATTATGTAGCATACAACTCAATCCCCAATGTCAGCCATCATTCGACTAGGAAAACGGCGTTTCTGCGAGGACATGCTCCACCCACCAGAAAACAGGCTGTCAAGGCTTTTAAATTTTTTATCATTTTGCATAGTGAAAGAAATGGCCTGTGGCCCCTGCTCAGCCCCCACACCTAATGTTTCCTAGAAACGCCACTGCAAGGGCCCCAATCTGTTATCTTTAAAGACCAAAAGTACCTGTACCATTCCTCCCGATACCCATTGCAAGACGTTCATTAGCTTAACAAAGAACATAATTATATTTCATTAGTTCATTAAAAAGTTATTTTATATTTTGATATTCTATATTCGTGTCTGTAAAATCCATTTTCTAATTACATTCCATCATTATTGTGTGATATCCCAACACCAATAGCTATTTCATTAAATCTTACAAGAAGTTAGTAATTAGCAACGGGTAAGACCTACTGGAGTAATGACAGGGAATCTTAAGAGGTTCGCCACTTTCAGGGGTGGACTCGGGTCTTGAATATATTAAAGTCTTCAAATTTATTAAAACTACACGAAAATCGCATAATCCCTTGAAATGTACCTTAAACTAAAATTTTACTTTCTATTTCTATATATATATGACGGAGTCTTAAGATCGGATTTTCTAACGCGGATAATTCTGGTCATACATGAGTTTGAAAGCTGAAATGTCGACGGTGCGCTGCAAACACTATTCACTGATTAGCTCAGCTGAATTCCTTTTTCTGAGACTTAAGTCAAACAAATAGTGAATCTGTCCCTTTAATATCATTTTTCGTATAAAGGGCTGTAAATAATCCTTGGTTAAAATGAAAAGTTGGTGATAATTAAAATTTAATACCTTCTATTTGATCCGAAATGTTATCATGGTTTCAAATTAGAATCTTTTGGAGTTAGTAACTTGATCATCCTTTCAAATAATAGTCATTACTTCATGTATTCTACCAACGAATTAATCCAAAAAAATTAAGTGATACATGATCATTTTGAGGTGTCATATTTTCTTGAAATCAATAGAAATCCTCATTGCCGTTCTATAAACACACGAAAAAGTGGACACTGGATGGCTCGTGGCCTCAAATGCAGCACAGCAAATCAGTGAAAAGTCGCTGGTATAGGTTTGAACCCATTTAACAAAAAAAAGTGTATCAACCAAAAAGAGGAAGGACAGTTATGCGAACCCAATTCACAAATACATTTAAACTGTTTACAACCTAAAAAGCGAATTTGTTTCGAATTACATTGCCAATATCTGGTATGAAATAAATATATATATGTTTATTTTTTAAATGGCTTATCCTAGGGTGATAATGATCATTTTCACAAAGTTTCGTAACAATCCTCCAAGACTGGTGCCTTCTATAGTGTTTACGAGCAATTCTGAATGGACGTTGGTGACGAAGATGTTGTTGGCCCACAAAAATGGATGAGTATGGTGGAGCTTTATAAAAAGAGTAATGAGGATTTCATATAAAGAATAATGATGACTTCATATACAGAGTAATGATGAATTCATATAGAGAGTAATGGCCACTTCATATTATGTAATACAGAGAATGATGAATTCTTATAAATAGTGATGATGAATCCATATAAAGAGTGAGTAATGATGAATTCATATAAAAGAATAATGATGACTTAATATAAAGAATAATGATAAATTCATATAAAAGTAATTATTACTTCATATAAAGAGTACTGAACTCACGGCTCGCAGATTGGTGTTCTGGAATTCTTCTTCTTTTCAAACAACAAAAACAAAGACTTCGAAATTCCTTTCTAAATTTACCTAAAAAATAATGTTATTAAAAAGAAAATTGTCAGTCCCATTTCATATTATTTTGTCTGATTAGAATCGATTTTCACTTCCTGTTCTTTTTTACATCATTATCTGGGCATCTATCAACTGGTATAATACTTCAGACTGAGAGTACTGAACTAAGATTCCGTAAAAGACAATAAATATTGTATTTTAGGACAGCTGCCTAGTCGGTCACAGTGATGGAATGCTTGGTAATGTGAAATTAAGGTCGCTCGCTCGTAGGTTCCAATTTCAGTCGGCGTGTGGAAGATTGTTGACCTAACATAAGTCTCCCCAGCTGTAACTGCGTATAATCCACAGAGTTTTGGTACCAATTGCTAGAACGAATACTCAAGAAATCAAGTTGTTATTCTTTTAAAACGTAGGTACATCAGGACTTGATATAGCATGAATATATTTCAATCACTTTGATATCGGTATATTAACGTTCAATAACAGCAGGAGCCTAATGGCAATCATTATCTTAAGTCGGTATTTTTAATATTGATAGACAAACAAAACAATATAGACTTCTATCTGTTGTATCTATTCAAAATTGAAAATGAATTATTAATAAAAGGAAAACACAATATTTGACAATGTTATCTTATTGTACAGCCTTAGGTTGATCTACCTCTAATCATCGAACAGTGTATGGTATTGACAGTTATTGTGAGTTATATTAGTTAAAGTCGTCTGATTAATTAAATTCTACCGAGTTATTTGCGATATAGTTTATATTTTTAATTCACGTTGATCCACTGTCTATTGTCCTTTCCTTTCTTATTCTTTATCTTAACTAAAAACATAAAAAAAAACGCTTAGTGAACCCAGGATCGTTATCAGGACAATATATATGGTCAATGCGATGACTGTTTTGCTATCCAACAATAACGAGCCCTTACTAACAACATGCTGGTGCAATTAATGACTTTGTTTCTCATTATTATGTGTTTCCATACAACTTAGTGGTTAGACCGAACATCTGCCCCTGTTATAGCGTCAGATAGCTATTTTGACATTGCCTACTCCTGCCACTAACTTAGTTGTGTACTTTGAGCAACGCAGTACCTTCATGCTTAAGATCTAACCCAACCCCTCGCCGAATCTTAAAAGTTCTTTTCCAATGCAGTTTTCGAACCTGGAATTCCCTGTACATATGTTACATTAAAAAGCTAATGGAAATAAATTAACGATAAAATGTTAAACTATTACATTAGCAGGTTTAAATAGCATTTAGTAATTCTAAATTGATTTAATAATAACGAGATTACCAGCAACGATAAATTAATATCCTTTTAATAAAAATGTCTGATAGCAGATTAAAATGATATTTTAATTTACAGAAGTGTATATTTACAGATTGCTAGTTTTTATTTGCTATAAATGATTCGCACTTAGTAATGAGTAATTTGTTGTACTTTTAACTTTCAATTATTTGTGGGAATAACTGATCTGTTTTTATACACCAATCTCGAAATGTAGATAGGAGAATAAGTTCTACTTTGAACAGTATATAGGGAAGCAGACTGAAAATCGGAAATCGCTTCGCTTATCGTGAAACTCTGAGTAACAACATGTTTTCGGTTCTGTTTTAATGTCTACATTTAGTACTATATTTATACAGGTATTCACTGGTGAGTTTGTCCATCCTTTATATTGACCTATACGATGCTGAATTAACTCCCCTCGGGCATTTCGGTCACGCACACATCTCATCAATTTACCGAATTGAATACAGTGGTCTTAACTAATTTGTCTCTATGAGCCGACTAATTGTCCTTTGGATTTATTATAGGACTGTATGTGACAAGCAAACCTACGCAAGTCAACATACGCTTTTAGAAAATAACATTGAATTTTTTAGTAAGAATGTTTGACGTTGAAAGATCGGATGGTTTCCAACAATCCGTCATGGACTGACATAAGAACGTCAAAAATATATCAGATTATAATGGAGACGAAAATATCAGAAAATAAACAGATAACGCAACCTTAATCTTATTTTGATTAGATTGGCATTTTACTAATTCTGCTCAAGTGACTTTTTTGGTATCAAAATCAGTTATTTGTTTATCTCCTGAGCATCGTGTTCATTTCTGTCGTTAGCAAGGCATATCCTAGATTGTTTCATGTTATAATTTTTTAATTCGAATTTATTTTAGATCAATATGTTTCTTTCTGTCATTTTAAATGTCGTCAAATAGGAAGAAACGTTTTGCAAAGATAACCATCTTACGATGTACAGATTTCTGACTACTGCTTACCCTGAATCTAATAATATAATGGTATTGACACTTCCGAAATTGAAACATTAATGGTTATTTTTATTATTTAATTGTGGTCTGGTGTGTCTGGAATATAAGGATAATGAAAAATAAAGTAGCCAATGATTTCGAGTATTCCAGTTGAGAAATTAGCAACAAAAGAAGTCAAAAGACCTATCAATAAAATGAAACGTGATTGAAAGAGATACTTACAGCTCATAAAGTTGTATATAAGTGGATTAATTGAGCTATTTATATAAATGAGTAGATGAACTGTAAGGCCAACTGCTGATGGTGTGACATCTATAATGGGATGATTCGTTAATCTAAAAATAAAGAAAAGGCAATTATCTCGGTATCGCAAACCCTATATCATCTGCAAGTAATAATTTAAAATTTTTATTAGCAGACAGTGTCCCAACTAGATGAGTGGGGCCCTTACGTGTGAAAGGGCTCTCTGCATTTTCCTCTGGGGTTGGCCTTACTCCCCATGGAAGTAAAACTACTGAAAGCAGAAACTGATAACCAGTGACACGAGTCCGGCAATGATGAAGGCATTAGCTGAATCTACCTCGGAAAAGAAAAAAACGAATCCCCGTGGCTTCTTTGGTGAGTCTCTTTACTCTACCGTTTTATCGTTGGTCTGTCACTTGGTAGTAAATGGTTGCAGGGCCTTGGAGAGATCTATCTCTATCTCTAAATTATGTTTCCATGCTATTTTATTATATAAGCTAACCATATCTACATTTCATTATCATTTGAATCAATAGCCAACGATGTTTTTGTTTTTATTTTGCTACGTTTTCAAGCGCTTGAAGTCTCAAGAGACCAGCCAGTAATGTTTGATATACCAAAAACACGCGACAATCTGGGTAGATTGCTGGTAAATATATAGCAACCGTTGAAAATATGTTCTAGAAGAACTATCATGGTGAGCCGTTTGGTCAGATGAAAGAAATAAAACAGATGTGTTAGCTAAAGGGAGTGACACCTATCAATATTTGGTTGGAAGGACGCGATGGTTTCTAGTATAACGTTGAATGAAAAACGTCAAAATGTCGGTTTGAATCATAAAGAAGTTAAAGTTGGTTCTTATCTGGGTCACTATGTTATTATTTCTATATTGTCTGAAATAGCTTTCCATAAATTATACTTTTGTCTTAGATTGTTCTCCATATATTATGTTCTGCATTACTTCCGGTTTTGAATAAAGGTTATGTTTTCACATTCAGCAAAGTTATCCTTTATTCTTTAACGTTTCAAAGAACTGTCACCGAAAATTGATCTTTACCACCCCTAATGTTCTTATTGGATAATTGGCTGCAATTGGAACATAGTTTTAGGTCATAATAAGATTTTAAACTATTAAAGTGTACGGATTATCTCAGGACTAGATACATCAAAGAAAAATAACAATTTTGTAAGTCATGATGAGACTTAAAACCTATTTAAGTTCCTGTTCCAGTCTGTTACATGTTAGAAAAGATGAAACAGTCTTCATTATTACCTCACCAGCTTTGTCGTGACTGACTAATTTTCAAGAAAAAACAATACGGTTTTCATCTCAGGGAATTGATGTCAAATACAAGACGTCAAAGTGTAATAAGTTAAAATATTTTGTTCCTCAACGGCAATCGTGAATTGTTTTTACATAAGAACATGTCTGCGGCCCTGCTGTTCTTTAGAAAAGAACAATCTGACATCTCGTTAAATTGTGTTGAGTTCGCCAGTCTTTTCGTCAACTATTAGCATGAAGTAAATATAACAACTCATCGGGAGATCCAACCTCTGAAAGCTGAATAGACAATGTAAATTTGCTGATATTTTGATGATATTTTCCATGCTTCAGGGTATGTGAAAAACATTAAGGATAAGAGAGATACCAGATAAATTATCTATTCTATAATCGGGATTTGGACAAGTTCTGCAAATAACTATTATCTTCGTTAGTGTCAAGTGTCAAAACAGACAGTTAGTCGATCTCAAATGCTAACCAAGCATTTCTTTTTAGAAGTTCATATGACAAATAACAATTGTTTATTTGATATATTCTATGGCTACAGTTAATTATCTGGAGCTACTGTTTTCTCACAAATTAGAGAAGGATAAAAATACAAAACATTATTGTTAAACATTTAACAATGGATTCAAAAATAATTTGCGATGGCCTCCCTGCAATCAAAAGTTCTGCTGTAGTTTATTCTTTAATCGTAGGGGAACTGGGCGTTGAATGTAAATCTGGTTCATAATAAGGAGAGCTGAATAATCTGTATCAAATCTATTCGGATTACATGTTCACTTCGAAATCTTCCCGTGAAAAAGTATCAGTGAATATGATCAAGTAAGATCGAAGAATTGGATTAAGGAAGTTTGCCTCTTTGGATAGTTCAATAGACATACCTTAAAATGTTCCACACGTAACCAGGGAGAAAGCACAAAATGAAACAGATGACAACCACTATTAGCATTTTAGCGATTCTCCGCCGAGCTTGAAGTTGATATGACATATTCTGACAACTACGCTCTAAAATAGAAAATGAAATCTTATACCAGCTTTTGATTAATTATCTGAACTTTTTAATTTTTTTAAATTTTGTCGCAAGCGTTTTCCTGTATTCCCTGTTAAGGAGAGTTTGATCTACATATTAAATGATCAAATATTTGTAACTAGTCAAATCAATGGTTACAACACCCTACGGCAGCAAGTGGACGTGACTTAATTCTGGTGATAAATTTCATGTATTAAACTATCAAACATTTATAGGAATAATCTGAGGCTTTAAGGAATTTCGGCTCGGAGGTGATATTGGAATGATATATTTTTAATCATCCAGCCAATGGCACATTTGCAATAACTATTTTAGCACAAATAACTTCCGGTTCGATCGTTTAGGTTTCCATCAACGTTAACCATATGCTTTCTTGGTGGGCGCATTAAAAAGGCTCAATAATTGCCATGGGCGCCGAGATCCTTTCTTGGATGTTTTCGCATTGGTTAAGGGGCTCTTTTATTTTGTGTTTTTATGCATCACAAGGAATCGGGTTGTTTTTCCACATGCAACTCTATACTCGCTCATGACGTGCAATGATATTACATTTTATTAGGTTTTTATTGGGCCTTTATAATAAATGCATAACAAAATTATTCTTAAACTTACCATTTAAAAACTCTCCATCTTTTATGCTCGACCACAAACTGAAGGCAACAGAGAGGTAAGTAAACCCCATGATAGTAATAGGAAGTAGAAAAAATAATGTCAAACACACAATCTCATTCACTAAGGCGGCTTGTCTGTGTTCATATGGTGTACAGGCTGACATCAATATGGTCAAATTATCAGGAATCAGGGAGTCTGTCGTCACAGAAAATATAATAAGACGTGGAATCGATGCCACGTGACCAATAATCCATATAATAATGATAGCAATAACTACGTGGTTTCTGTTCTCTTGAAATTTCACAGAATGACAAATGGCCAGCCATCTCTCGATTGAAATAGATGTTAGTGTTAAAACTGACACTACAACTGACACGCTCTGAAAGAAGAAAAAATAAAGCTTCAATAAAATAGTAAGTGTGGAATGGGCTTTTTCATGGGTATTGCATTCATAAGGTTTTAATGGCAGTATGCACAGTTTTCATTATCAAAAACATCGTAAATTATACATGAAAACATTTATTAATTACGTATTTTATCAAACTGAATTTGTTCTGAAATGGATAATTAAAACTCGATAACACTTGAGAATATAAAGGAGACATTTCTCTTCAATCGGGGGTTTACTTTGCTTAAATCCGCAGAGTAGTTTTCTAACACCTAGCAAAAAGCATAGCGAAGTTTACGTAAACCTTTGAATTATTTGTACAGTTGCACTATATAGCTAAAAGAGTGACAACGCTAAGTCATACAAGATATGTCGGTGAAAAATAATCAGAATATCACGAAAATCGTTAGGGGTCATCTTCATAATGACATTGACCTTCAAAATAAAAATCAAAAGATTCCACAAAGAATTGTAGCCTGTAGAGTGAACACAGGCAAATGTGAACGGACGGACCGACGGGGCGATTACAACATATGCCAAGACTATTGGAAAAAATAATGGAACCTGTATTACTGCAATTATTAATGAAATATAAGAGAAATATAATTGTCGGATAGTTACTTTGTTATTTTCATTTCTAAGTCTTAACCACAGGCATGTTTCTATCAATAGTCGACCGTCTCTATAATAGTATATTCTAAATATTCTTGGCGCTGAAAACTTTGCTTTAGAGAGAGGATTAAATGAAACACATTTTAAGGTGCACCCACAGCATACCGATTTCCATAGGTTTCAAGCGCAACTCACAACATGAGGTGTGCGTTCAAAACTTATAACCGCTACTAGTGATCTCTATTGTGTGAGGGCCACTTTATAACAAATACAGTTTTTCAGTACTGACTGATTAATCTCGAATCAAATCTTCTTTTAAAAGTTTTCTATTGTACTTTTTCTTAATTCCTGTTATACTTTCACCGGAAATTGGTGGATTTCATTCTAATCACTGGAACTGTTAACAGAACAACGGTAATACGAACTGTCAGTTTTTCAAACATAAGGTCGGCATTATGAAAACAAAGGATTATTATTGCAGTTTATGAAAGTTATCCCCGGGGAGACAGATAGACTGGGGATGATAATATTGTCATAATCGAAAGTATCGTTGATAGTGAAATCTCTTTTAACTATGGTATTGATCTGAAGTTGTAATTCTAGATTAATAAATGGTTCAGAACTGTGTTGTTTAAAATAAGTGAGATCATTTCTCCACGGAAGAGTTCTTCCAAATCTAGTCCTTCCCAAAACAAATCAGTCAATTTAAAACGTATTTCACTCAAAAGAAAGTTACTACGGATGTAAAATCATACTCCACATATCGAGATAATTCAATGTGACCCTCCCCATGATCTTCCAATTCTCCCATGTGGAGAAGCACCGATTTACACTAAAATGAAATAGACCTTCATAATTTCAAACGATGTAACTGATGAACGCCCGCTACATGTGACAGTCTTATCGATGAAACGGATATATTTCAGGTTTACATTGAGTTATTGGCTAGTAAGAGAAATCACTTTTATGATTAAAGGGACAAGTGCAACAACATTTTTGACCAATCTTACCTTATTCTCAGAAACAAGATATCTTTGTTAGCTAAGCCAATCAGTTATAGTGTTCACAGCTGACCGTCGATATGTAAGCTTTCAAATCTATGTGTGTCCAGAATTATCCGTGTTTGAAAGTGAAAAAGACGAGTCGTCTTTTCTTGAGAGACTACCATATTAAGTATCTATAGAAATAGGAATAGGAAATTTACACGGTTGTCGTAATTTCTAGTACCTCTGAAGACTATTTACAAATATTCAAGATTGAAATCAGCACTTGATTACGGAGGGACCTGATCATCGTATAAATACAAGAATCAATTAGTTAACTAGTTAAAAGTAACTCTATCCAAGACGAATAATTCCCAGTCTGTTTCTTTATGCAGATTTATTTATTACATTTGTATGGTAAAGTCCAAGGTTAAGTCCAAAGTTAATTTAATTCTGAATCAATGATAGTTTTCCAAAGGTTTTCTGTTGAACAACTGTCGGACAGTCTGATACCGTGGACTGACATGTTTCAAACTTTAAGTATACACATGAAGAATGTTAGTTGAACACCACAATCAAGAGAATCATCATTTCAAATAGAACATAGACCACCGAAATGTCACGTGGCATTGGGTCTGCCAGAAATGCTCTAAAGTAAAAGAACAGTGTTTCTACGCGGACTAATCGTAATAATTGTATTCAATTGTAGTGAGTGATTTTTGTTACAAATAGCAAACTACCAATCGAGTGATTATTGAGTACGAGTCATTCAGTTGCTCATTAACTAGTTGATTTCAAATCTGGCGATTCTCTTGGCGATTTTCACAATGGCTTCCCAAGTAGATTTTTATTTTCTTTTATGATTGTGATAGATGCCATAATTCAACACGGTTTGATGTAACTTGTGGAAATTTTAATCCCGTTTTTTTTTAAGATATACATTACTGATCGACAAAGTTTCAGAAACAATCCTTATCCGATTCTATAAACCATAGATTTGTTCATGAACAGTCAACGGCGAGACCTTTTGACATTCAACTTCATTGAAATACATTTAACTTAAATTAATCGCTTTTAAAGGCTTATGTAGTCACTCATAAAGCCATAGTTCCAGAGAAGGTGTGTAGGTTTTATATGTCTTGCTTGTATTTGTTGCTGTTCTTTGAAACTGAACTGAACTGAACTGAAGATGCACTTAAAAACATTTGTGCTGTTAAGCGGATGACTATCGAAAGTATCGTGCATAACAGTACCACAAGTGTCTGATACTGATACTGATACTGATACTAAGTGTTACTTGAACAGTGGCTCCATCGGAAGCTGGTGCGTTAATGTTCATATGAACCATTTTGCCATGGGCTATATTTACACGATGTCCTGATTTGTAATATAAATTTACTTTTTAGAAAGTTACCCCATAATGAATATAAATTTGACCTTTTTTTCGAAACCGGAAGTGACCTATAAAAAATTTATTGTAGCGTTGGTCCGAGTTTTTCTGTATTTTCGGTTGAATACTTTGGAATTTGAAGACTTAAATGGCTTTGGTCTTTATTAACCTTGCTTTCTACGCTAGTCAATTTTCGATATCTACTTCCGGTTTTACAGCCACCTAAAAACAAAAACGTTTCACGACGCGTGACCCAATTGTGCAACGCGGCTCTAGTAAAAAATTCTTCTTATGAAGGTGGAAGACCATCAGTCGTAAATAATATTGCAAGTCGTAGGGGACTTTAATGTGGTCGTATATCGAAGGTGATTGCTTCGTAAAAGTGAGCAAGATTCACTATATCTACAATGAGGATGTTACGTGTTTTTACAATTTCTATTCCAAATAATGTTTATGAGTTTGTGAAGTAGTACAAAAAATTATTTTGTTAAATATATAATCTTCAGAGAGAAAGAAATAAATACTTTTCATGATGTTATCTCATATCTCAGTATTTTTATTCGAAGAAAATATATGGAAAGATCAATTTACGATCCAGCTCAAAATTATTTTATTCTAATTATAGTAATAAATACCTTTAAAAAAGAAATAAGATTTCGTAATATACTGCTAGTCTTGCGAGTTTTTTTCCCATGAAGTTGCACGATTTAAGAATCAAAAGTAAACAGAAAAGAGAAATGTAATGGAAATTTACGTTTTATTTCTCTTCTCAAGGATGATAATGGCAATATTGACGTCGTCTGCATTTCGCATTGACTAAATATCAGTTTTCTTGTATCAGTTAACCTTCGGGTGGTTGCTCCAATTGCAATTATAACTCAAAATGTAAAGTTATATTATGTTGTGTCAAGTCCAGGTCAGCCAGTGTAAGTCTATGTTAACTAGTGCGTTTGGCTGGTATCAACGGTCTAGACGGACCAGGTCTGATTCAAACACGGGTCAACCTCGTAACATAAGCTTTAAGAGGAACACAATAAAGAAAACACAATTTGTCAATTAAAAAAAATTGAAATTATGACAGCGAGTTGTTAAGAAACTGTGTCCGTTTTGATATTATCGGTAATCAGTATTATTGTCCATATAGAAAAACTTTAATCAGTGTAAAGAGAATCCAATTTCCTATCCAAACGATTATAATGTCAAAACCTAACAGATTACTTTCCAATATATATCTGTATTTTATATATATATATCTGTTGTCAACGCCCTATTTCATAACTTGATTAAGGAAAAATAGACAACGCTGAAAAATTGTTCGTGATAACAATCGGAAACTAACTAGAAAATGTTGTCGTTTTTAGTGAAAAAATATTAATTAAATTTTCAAAATGTTATCTTAATAAAAATATATATATTGAATTGTTCTTTCTCATGGCAGTATTAGAATAGTCCAACAGTACACAAAGACCAACAACCAAGAGATCGCCAATGTTGTAGCTGAACATAATCATAACCACCCGATCCACAATCATAGCTAAGAATATTTCCATTAGTAGAGAATCTAAAGAAATTGATGAACATCATCCTGAATAGAGACTATGGAATTAACCTCCAAATAATACGGAAAGACAGATGCCTATATCATTTTGTTAATTAGTAATTAATTGTTACTATTTATTATAGTTATTCCATAATTGTAACCATACATCACCCTTATAATATATGAATATTTCTCAGCTTTCTTGTGCTTGTGTCCACGATTTTCTTGTAATCTCTGACGCTACCCTTCCATCCATTATCCTGGCAATTCATTGTACTCTAGTCTTAACCCCTTGATTGCTTATTGCCACTACCACATTTCTCAGATTGATTAAGGTTATTGTTTATTTCTATGTACATATATTTCTTCTTGTTATATATTTACTTAACATGATGCTGTTTATAATAACTTTTATCAACTACCAAGCCAACAGCACAATCATCCATTTCAACCACTACGAACTTGTTTGCTATATCAGCATCCACTGGAATCGAACGTTAAGCTGTCGTCTACCAACGAACCTGCTGTTAAGCGAATTTTCAAGTATCAGTAAGTACGTTAGTGGTGGTGGCCAGAATATTCTAGCTTGCTGTCGTCTAGTTAACACATCAAGTCATAGAATGAATAAAAGGATGGACTCACGGCGGATAAACACCAGACGTTCGGTTGTGCCAATGAATAATGTACCGTACAGTATTTTAGTGTACCGTCTTCTATAATATGAGAAATTGAGTTATCGTCAGTTGTTTAATCTATTCAGAATGGCTTTACATTAAACAAACGATGGAATTCAAATCAAAGAAATAAATCACGAAGTCCTTAGTTCATTTGCTTAACAAGACGAATGATCTAAAAGGTTTATACGACTTCTATTTTAACTTCAGGACAATCTGTCTAGGTACAGTCCAAGAACCACTAGATTGTATTATAAATAGAAAGCATGTCGTCATACAATAGTGTATGAATTTATTATTATACAAGAAAAGTCTAGAATTTACATCATTTGAGTCAAATTTCTCGTAACGTAACTGCAATCAATCACTTCATTACTCTAATACCATAGAGGCAAAACTTTAAGGATGTTATTGAGTTGTAAAAGCTAGGTTTCATCAGAAACATGGAGATTATTTTAAAGTGTAACATCATTAGAGAATTCATTGAGGAAATGTCATATCTAAGTTGCAATAGGATATAATGGAGGCCATTTCTTTTTTATTTTTCTTATTGCTAGTACCAATAAATCAACATTCCACAAACTATTATAATTGCCTTTGACATATTTCGATCCACATTCATGGCTTTGTTTGCAACTGTTGGCAGACGATTAATATTTATTTTGTTGACCAATTGTGGTTCCATTTGCAAATCACAATAAATCAAAATTTTATTATTTTTTCTCCATGCGAAAATATTGTGTTGAACTTTTCACCAGTTATCTTTGCTTGACAAAATGACAGTTTTCTGTGCTTGGCAAAATGACAGTATTATGTGCTTGGCGTAATGACAGTTTTCTGTCTTTGGCACAATGACAGTATTAACTGTGCTTGGCAAAATGACATTATTCTATGCTTGGCAAAATGGCAGTATTCTGAACTTGGCACAGTGACAGTATTCTGTGCTTGGCAAAATGACAGTATTCTGTGCTTGGCAAAATGACAGTTTTCTGAACTTGGCACAATGACAGTATTCTGAACTTAGCACAATGACAGTATTCTGTGCTTGGCAAAATGACAGTATTCTGTGCTTGGCAAAATGACAGTTTTCTGAACTTGGCACAATGACAGTAATCTGTGCTTTGCAAAATGACAGTATTCTGTGCTTGGCAAAATGGCAGTATTCTGAACTTGGCACAATGACAGTATTCTGTGCTTGGCAAAAAGACAGTTTCTGCACTTGGCACAATGACAGTATTCTGTGCTTGGCAAAATGACAGTTTTCTGAACTTGGCACAATGACAGTATTCTGTGCTTTGCAAAATGACAGTATTCTGTGCTTGGCAAAATAGCAGTATTCTAAACTTGGCACAATGACAGTATTCTGTGCTTGGCAAAATGACAGTTTTCTGAACTATTGCGAGCAAACCCCTGCGTCTCAAGACTTTTTCTCATCTGTTAGTCGCTGGTATATTACAATCAAACACATTTTTAATCATATATAAAGAGTCAACAACTTTGTTTACATTTCATTATTTTCTTTCATTTAATTGACCAAAAAGCAAATAACCTTGGACACTTTTGACCGTAATGTTTCACTAACAATATTGACAGTATCAATAATTTTCCTTATTAAATTCTGTGATTTTATATTAAAACTCCATCCTTAAGGGAGATTTTGATTTTTTCATTAAATTTTGTGGCTTGGGGCGTGAAATACTTTAAACTGCATATCACTATGTTGAGGAAAATGTCCCCTAAACTTTTTAAAAAGTTTTAAAAAAATAAGTCTAAATATATTTAAGCGTTAAGTTCACAAAAAACAGTTAAAAATAAGTCACTATTTACTTAAACATTTCTAATCCCGCGGCTCCATTTTTAGTAGAAATGGATTTTGATTGGACCACTAATTTTTAATGAACCAATCAGCAATAATTTCAATATTAATATTGAATTATTTCAATTATCAATATTAATAAAATATGGGCAATGTGGAGTAAATAGTGTCAACGTATATAGAAAAGAGAGGGCTTCCAATGGCATAATAGGCATAAATGTAAACAAAGCCGTTTAATGCGTGTGAACAGATAAACGGCTTTGTTTACATTCGCGCCTGTTATGCCAGTGGAAGCCTTCCCTTTTTTTATATAAGTTGACACTATTTTCTCCACATAGCCCATATTTTATTAATATTTACAGAACTTCCAGGGCCTGTGCTCAGTTCAAAAGGAATACTTTAATGGTTCGGTAAAAAGTGTTCCAGACCTCAGGTAATGTAGACAGAAATCATTTGTGTAACCGTTTCAAATTACCTCTTTAATATTGATAACAAAACAGCAAGCGAAGTATAAGAAAATGTCAACAATTTATAGTCATGTGCATGTACTGTCATGGTTGTTGCAGAGAGAGGTCGAGCTTATGGAAACAAGCTATAAAGCTTATATAAATCCATTACCATTCAAAAATAGTTACAATTCGATACAATACAAATTAGGGAAAAATTTACAAACTATTTACACTAAATGAGGTTCTCTCAACTGTATCAAGGTTGTATGACAGCAGATATGGTTCAGTAAGTTTAATTGTATGGATGAAATAAAATATGTTTGTATCTTCATTAGTGTTCTGTGTGGAATAGTAGCATAAGAGTGATCTTCAGTGCTTTAAGAAGCTTTAAGGAGAAATTCCTGCATGTTTTCGATCCATTTCGCACAATTGTCGCAGATGACACGATTTTGTTTGAGTCCAATTTTAATCGCTAAATATGTTTTTTATACATTCTCTTTTCACTGGTATACTTGGCATATTCTAACTATTTTGATTTTTGTTATAAAGAATATTTGAAAATTCCCACATATAGTACTCATAATTCCCAAGTACTCTTCATGTCGTCTTTTCTTATTATGACAAAAAGTTGTTTATAAAGGAAACATAATTTTTTTCCTATGCTAGGAATACAAATAAAATCTATTGACAAAGTTTTTACACCTTTATTTGAAGTAGAATGCAGGATTTAAACAATTAAGTTGAGTGCTTGACATTTTCTTTTAAAGAAACCTGGCTAAGATGGTTAAAAATAAATCCAAATGGATTAAAAATTAATTCAAAGTTTTCTGTTCATTATCGCCTGTCAAGACTCTATTTCGTGTTGCTATAAACAATGCAATATTGACTCTTTCTTGCTAGTATCCAGTCTACTATCATCATGGACAAAAAGGTCGTCTGATGGTCTTCTTTGCTCAGTGCCTTTACTCAACTAGGTATACTTGTTCAACTAAGTTCACAGGCCTCACTCCAGACAAATACAGGAGAGCATAATTATGTTTATGAGAAAGTTTAACCCTCTTAAGTCCACGTATCCCAACTCGTCTGGTTGAGCTAGTGTCATTGCTAGAATAAATACGTAGAGTATCATTTAAGTATAAACATTAATATCGAGATTTGATTTCGTCAACTTTCTTTTTATCAATTTAATGGAAAATATGAGAAATCATCAACTATTGTTTTTTATTATTATTTTGAAGCAGTAAAATAGAAACAAATTGATTATATGCCCAGGTTTGTTAGCCTTTATTATCTTATTGTGTCGTTGTGAAACATTTCCATCGCATCTCCTATTTACCCACTTTCATAAGAGTACGTTTACCATAATAAGTAATACGTTATTGCGTTCTAGAGATTAATCGATGGAATCGTTAAAATGCTGTTAGAAAGAGATATCTGCACTACGCTGACCCAACACCACACTTGCTTTTCTGAAACTCCTCGCCAGCACCACCAAAAAAAGAACTAAGGATGATTTAAGTGTTTCTGACAATTGGTTGATCAATCACTAAATTGAATTTCAATTCAACTTCAATAGCTATTCAGATAACTTAACTTTTTAAAAGCTTTCGTGAAACAAGCTCCATGATCTGACATTTGAAATTATTATTTTATTTTATTACACAATGACAGTTAGGGGTGTTAATTTGATGTAAAAACTGTAATATAATTATTCCACCGAGCCCTGTGACCATGGCCAGTGCTTTCATTGCGACTCGTCTCAATACACCCTAACACTGAAGAAACTGGTGATTTGTCTAGGTTTGAATTACAGGGTGGAGGGGGGGGGGGGTTGTATCATAAGGGTTATAGTAAAAGTTTTAAAGATTACAAAAGGGAACATTTACCATCAATCCGTACGGTCAATAGATCATACCTTAGTCTCAGAAACGGCTAATAATATCTTAAGCTAAACAGGAACGGTGTCTCCGGCAACATATATCTTGTCAACAAGACGTACAATATTCAGGCAAGGGAGGACCAGATAGAAAAAAAATGTGAAATTTCTAGTTCAAGGTACAACTGCAGGTATTGTGCGATCTTCGCGCAGTTCTAGTACTTTTGAAGACTATTGACATATATTCAAGGCCCAAATCAACATCTGAAAATGCCAATTGTTGCCCTTTGAGAAAAATATAGGATACATACCTGGTACCATTCAACCACTTTACACATAACATTACCAAGAAACCAAGTTTCCCAGATTGTTTGAGCGTACGATGGTGGCAGGCACAAGATGAGAACTAACAAATCAGCTACAGCCAAATTTACTAAAAATAAATTAGTTGTGGTTCGCAGTCGTAAAGTTCTCCAAACTACAAAACATACCAAAGAATTTCCCGTTAAGCCAAAAATAAAGACTATGATATATAGCACTGTAAAAAACCATTCATGTATCTGGGGTTTTAGAAAGGCGTAGATTTCATCTAGAAGGTGTTTATCTGAATAGTAACATTGGCCCTCGCCTTCATATTTACACGGTGTTCTGTACACTGTTATGTTCTGCATGACGGAATAGTTGAGATCTTTATCACTAAGCACCGGAATTGTGTCTTCATATTTCATTTTGTGTGAAATTTATGACCTCTTTAGATCTGGATTGATCAGAAATATTTACCAAGCTTCTTCAATTAAGAAGAAAAAAATTTCGATCCGATTTAAGGCACATTTAAAGCATTTTCATGACACAAAGCGCGACTTTACGAACACAGTTTGGTAGATTTGGAAAAAATATAATATACAAACTAATGCACAAATACATAAATTTAATCTGTATGCTTATATAACTAATTGCACACCACAAGAACAAACAGAATCAAATGTTCAACATAATTTTAATTAGTGAAATTCGTTACTGGACTATTGGTCTAAAATAAATGAATCAGAGTTTCCACAACACTTCTCCATTGTCGGTATATAACATGTCATTGAATCACAATAGAATGAAACTCTTGCACGCTGATCTTCTGTGACTAGAAATTAACTGAATGGTACGTCAAGTAGTTTAATCTATTATCTACATTAGCTTAGCATGGTGGAAAACAGAATGTCCTCGAGTCACATCCGTGGTTATGTCCTTAACGATACCATCCATTAAGACTTTACTCAAACTAACTAACATTACTTATCAATTACGTTCATCATCAATACGAAATCCATTACCAAGTAATAGTTTATTAGTAGTCAATCCTGTTTCAGAAATTTGAGTCAGAAATTCAAATATTAGTGCTTGATTTTAAAAGAAGGAAGTTTTAAAGACACCCACATCTTTTTATTATCAAAGTATGTATTTCTTAGATTCCAGATCTGTACTTACTTTCAACCGAAATAATTTCACAATTCTTTGAAGTGAGGTGCAATCTGTCGTTATACAGATCGATCAATGTTTGGGATAACAACACAATTTTTTTTCAATTATTTCAGTGATTATTGATTAACGGACCATTTTGATTAATAAAATAATATAACAAAGAGACAAAGTGTATAAAGTCTAAAAAATCAAAATTTTGACAATCCAAATGAATTGAGTTGCGCCCTACTCTTCTGTAGCTCGTGCAGACGAACAATGCCATGGAGTGTGCAACATTGCAAAGACAGAGACATTAGCCTACTTTCTTTCAATTTCCAAATGTCGAAGTATCTTGAACAAGCAAAGCCTGTAACACAAATGGCCACTATTAATTGTCCCATTCGACGCTTTTTCCATGTCAGCCCCTCCTCTGACCAGCATCGCTCACCGTATACCGAAATAATCTCCTCGACCGATTAGGAGCAAGCGTCTAATTCGGATAAAGTAAATTACGCCCATTTAATCTGAATAGATCATATGAGATAATAAGTCGCAATAACTAATAATCGGGTGTGCTGTCAAATATGTCTGTTACACTTGTCTCCTTGATTCCACTTCAATTTAAAAGTCAATAATATGACAACTATAGTTGATATTCTGACGGGAATCTCAGAAAAAACTGTTAATGGAACGATCAATTTTTAAAGACTAATTGACACTTCTTTGTTATCTTGTCTTGTTTTTTACTCTATTATTGAATCGATGATCAATTTATATATTCCCTGGTACTTTTAGGTAAATAATAACAAAACCCTATCTATGAAAATAACAATAAAAATAAAATAACCTAAATTCTTACGACCTACATTTCTGTATTTGAATCAGCAAATGATACGACACAATTCTATTTTTGACATTGAAACAGTACAAGAATTGTTCGAAAGACTTTAGCACACGCTGTCATTGGTTTACGGAACTCCTGTGATCTTCCATCACTCCCGGAATCTCATGTTTCCTTTCAAATTTGGACAAATAGAACAAGGAAGTGATGTCATCACCTCAACTATTTCCGAAGGAGATCTTAGACATGTTTCCAAGATGAAGATGGAGTAACCTTAATGAAGCGTTAATTCCATATCCTTTCTTCATTATTTATAATATAGCTAAGCTAAGATATCAAGAAGCCAGTGGCGGATCTAGTGTAGGTACAAGGGGATTAGGTGGTTTGTACCACTTCATTTCTAATAAATTTTTAAAAGTGATTTTTGTATCTTTTTGACTTAAAATATATGTCTATGAATGCACCTAGTCAATTATATTTTTCAAAAGTTTTCGTGGCGGAAATCCTTGTCAAACACGTGCGCTTATTCGCTTCCAAACAGTTTTTATATTTTGAATCTATATCTCGACAGTTGCTCACCGAGTCTACTATATTTGTCTCTTACCATCGTTATAATTTCTAAGTAATTCTAATTCATTTTCAGTGGGCGAATGAAACCAGGTAATGCGTTCGGACACTAAACAGTTACAATAACTACATTGATGAAAATAGAATGTACCAGATCATAATGCACCTACTGACGTTTTCACAAAGAAAAGGACAAATCTTATTCTTATATCCCCGGTTGAAAACCAGGATCTAAACCAGCATTATATTTATTTACAACACTCCACCACTCGATATGTACAAACTTTTAACTATGTTGTATTTTGTTGAAAAAAGATTTTTTTAATCAAACGTTATATGGCGTAAAACGCTTTTTCCGTTTTTCTTACCTTACCAAAGTATCCCGTAAAAATGTTACAACTGTCGAAGAAAACTTTGATTAAAGCCTGAAGGACTGAAGATGAAATAGATACGCATACTACTTTTCTGTTAATGGTGTTAATAGACGAGGTATAGTGTACCGTTCGAGATTATCGATGTAGAAAAAAATAGAAGAAGTAAATCGTACCCAGCTCGACCAGAATATCCCACATCTCGTCGCTGGATAGCTCACCGTTCGCGCACTGTACTGTAAGGCATTGTATACGCAATGCACTGCCCAGACAATGGCCGCATTGGTACACTTTGACACGTAATGACACTACTTGTGTGGGCATTATTCACACGGTTAGAGAATTTATACGTGTCAATCTTTTTTAAAATCTTCACGCACTCCTCTCACCAATATGGCTGAACTTCTAGGACTAACGTGTAAAGATCATATGTATGTAAATATGTTATAGTTTCGGACGTGTTGAATAAATACTATTCACAATATGACCATAAGTGAACATCCCGTATCCATAAACCCCGTTAGTTTACAATGCTGGTAGTGGTAGGTATCAAGTTAACGTCCGCTTACGGCTTCCTGATATTACAGACTATTACAAAGATGCTTTTTTAAAAAGTGGTGTATAGGCCTACATACAGGTATACAGTACAAAGTTATTGGGATAATGAATCCTAATAATTGATGCTTAGAAATATTATTGTAATCTTATTACTATATTTATGACAGTTAATTATGTAACATGGTATCTATAGACGAAATAAATGAAACGAGAGGATTTTACTTCCTTGGCTTTGAAGGTTATTGATCAATATCAGTCATAGATCTTACGCCTTATCTGTGGCGTAACCAAAATAACATGAGTTTTTCTTTACAGGTTGTTAATCATGACCTATTAAGGAAGTGTTAACTTTCTGTTTGAAGGTCCTAGAAACAGGAAATCTATAGCCGCACAATAAAAAAAATTGGCCCGCTTTAAATGAACCGGACTCGTTACAGATAAATATGTATCCAAGAGTAAATGGAATTAGTCGATATCTAGATGGACGGTCTCAAAAGATGCTCAACTAAACAAAACGATTTTTCGCCTTACATATTTATTGATCTTGGCATGCTGATGAAGATAAATGAGAATTACTCGAAGAAATCTGTTTTTGCCTCTAATATTACCGCAAGATAAGCTTTGAAGATTGCCTGTATGTCATTGAAGGTTTCTATTATTATTTCCTGGTTGTAAATTAAAACCACAAAAGCCGATTTCACTGAAAGTAAAGTACCAGTAACAAATAAAAAGTCCCTAAAGTATTAAGCTCATTAACTGGTAGCTAGAATTGAATCAAAATCTTCTTTTATAATTATTTTGCAATTTTTTTTCGACTGTTATATGTGACTATTGAAATTCTAGAAAGTATATCAATTGGATTTGCAAAGGCCACTAGGGAAACATTTGATGAACTTAGTGAAATAAACCTTCAATAGTAATTTTTCCATTTTTCTCCGTAAACAAAAAAAAAACAGGCGAGATCTGGTATTTACAAGCACAGCCACATTGTTTACATTCTTTCTGTCATAGGCTCTGGTTGGCTGTTGACAATTTACAGCCAGTCAAATCACTCCCATAATAAAAGAAAAGTGTTTATTAATGTCAAGGTATTAGAAAACGTTTGTATTACCTTGACACTGAGAAAATGTAATATGTATTGCACAATAATTTAAAAACATAGAGTACATGGAAAAAGACTGAAAGGAAATGAAATGTCTATAATGTCTATAGATTTTGATGTGTGACAGGTGGTTGCAGTACCATATAGATTGTGAAATAATATGAAACATCTTATGATGATTGGTGTCTGGAACCATATTTCCCCTTAAGTCAGTATATCCTCTAGTTTCCACGATGACAAAACAATACAACTACATGTGCATGTATCACTGGCTCTGAAAGACTTTTCTGAAAAACATTCGTATATTCTTAGGATTCAAATCCATTGCTATTCGACATGGTATATGAACGGATATTACTTGAAACGAAATTAAATAATAAAAAAATCTTCAATATTTGAGGCACAAAACTCCTAATGCGTTCAGATTTGGGTTGGAATTAAATCCAAACCTGATAAACCAACCCAGCCAAGTTACGAATATTGCTAAAAAAGGGTATATTAATTATCTGTAGCTGAACCCTAATCTAATTTTGTGTGGTCACTAACTCAATTAACATAATTTGTCTGTCTATGTTTTCCTTAGATCTGACCACTTGGCATTCTTTGTTGTAAAGCAGTTTTGTAAGATACCTACTAAAAACGGAATATATATTCCAAATAATCCAATATTTCTATTTCCTACCATCTCCTGAAAGATGTAGTGATTGTTATATAATAAGCTTGTGCAGTTCTCGCTCATATCTCAGATTGTTGATACCTACCGTTCTGGTTAAGATGATAACTTAATCTATTTGGTTCAGTAGCAGAAGGTCCTCCTCCTTGTGTACATGCATCGGT